ACGAAGCCGTCAGGACTTCTGCATCCGATTTCTCCCCCGTTTATGCCGTTCCAGCAGATCGGAATGGATTTACTTGGCCCTTTCCCATCGTCAACGTCGGGAAACCGCTGGATTATCGTCGCCACCGATTATCTCACACGGTACGCCGAGACGAAAGCCCTTCCAGCAGGCACGGCTGTTGAAGTCGCCAAGTTTTTCATTGAGTCCATTGTCCTCCGGCACGGCGCCCCTGAAGTCCTGATCACAGACCGTGGATCTTCGTTCATGGCCCAGCTGACGCAAGAGATCCTTCGTCTCAGTGGCACCGGCCATCGTCGAACCACTGCATACCACCCGCAGACCAACGGGCTGACCGAGCGACTCAACAAGACAATCGCCGATATGATCTCTATGTACGTCGACGTAGAGCACAAGACGTGGGACGAGGTGTTGCCCTACGTCACGTTCGCCTACAATACGGCCGTTCAGGAGACCACTGGATTCACCCCTTTCCAGCTGGTACATGGTCGGAAGGTAACTACCATGCTGGACGCAATGCTGCCCCATGAGCCATCTGACAATGAGAGCGACGACGCCCAGGCGGTTGCTCAACGCGCCGAAGAAGCCCGCCAGCTCGCCCGACTCATGATTCAAGACCAGCAACGCGTCGACGCGGGCCGCTACAACCTTCGTCGCAGGGACGTTCACTTCCAGCCCGGAGACAAGGTGTGGGTGTGGACGCCCATCCGTCGCCGCGGCCTCAGTGAGAAACTGCTGAAACGGTACTTTGGACCATACAAGGTACTTCGTCGCCTCGGCGAGCTGAACTACGAGGTGATGCCCGACGGAACAAGAACATCATCACGCCGCCCACCACGACCTGAAGTCGTCCACGTCGTGCGCCTGAAGCCGTACTACGCTCGATAGGACTGTGGATCTTACGTGTTTCAAATGACTCTTTAGTTTGCCGTTCTTTTTATGTGCTTTGTTTTGTTTTGTGTTGCATCGAGGCGATGCACTTTTTAAGGGGGGAGTAATGCCGCGCGCCAAGTAGGCAGCGCGGCCGTAGCCTAACGGTTATCGCGCTTGCCTCCCACGCGAATGGCCAGGGTTCGATTCCTGGCCGTGGCTACGCATTTTTGTTTACACTGTAATGTGATGTTCTAGTGAATTCGAGAACCGTCTAGCTGATTCGAGGTTGGAATGTTCTACGCGTCGAACCTTCTACATCGAATGCTCCAGAAGCCAACGCGTGTACAAAAGCGGCTCCGCCTGGCAAGCAGGGGTCAGTCTCGCCCCTGCGTTCGACTCAGCTGTTACGCCGACTTCGACGCCCGCGACGCTCTCTTATTATCTTTGTTCTCCCTTTATTTTTTGGCACAAGTTCGCCACATTAAACGTTTATTTCTTCCTGTTTATTTCCTTTTATTTTGGTCACCACCCGTGACAATATTAGCGCATCATATTTTAATTTGACAACTCGGAAACACCTCCTCCGACGGTGGCGCCGCGAGGTGCCGAATGCGCGCGCATAACGGCGCTCCCTTTCACTATACGTCACGGATACGTCACATTCCTTGGGTTTCGTGATTGGCGAGAGCCGTCCCAGGAATTTTGAAGCGAAATAAAGTATACGAAATAAAGTATATCACACGTTAACCGTCATTGTTTCTCTAACAAGTAATTTTTATAGAGCTAATAAAGTTGCAAAGTAAAGTTCAAAAAGGGCGAAAACAACGCCTTGTCGCTCATGCGCGCCTCCCAGCGGCGTCCGCGACGTACCATCGCGAGCAGACGACAAGTGATCCGTGCACACAACGCGCACCGTATTTTCACTTGTGCGCCCCCGGTCCCGGTCAACTAAAAGCAGGAAGAGGAGCCAGGGGAACCCTTATTTTATTTTAGTGCTGTGACAGACTTTTCACTGTTCGAGTGAAGTGCGTCGACGGGACCGGTGCCCAACGGGACCGCTCACCAGTTTCTCCCTCCTACTCGCCGAGGTGGCTCCGGTGGCGGAGTTGCGGGAGACGAGTGTTCCGCGGCTGTCGAAGCGGACTGAGGCAGAGACACGGCGCTAGCGTCGAGTGTCCTCGTACGGCGCGACGCCCAGATCCGCACTAAAAATCCGATAAGCCCGGTAAATTCATCGATGATGGCAACCCGATCGCAAAGCTACGATGGTTGCAGGTAGGCCTAATGGCCGACGAGCCGACCGGGCCGACGGGCTATCAACCAAACTTGCGTCCAATTGGCCAACCGCTTTGCTCCAATCGCTAAACTGTTTCATTTTACGTCATGAAGCGCTATGTTTTGCTTATTTAAAGTTGTTTTCTGCAATATTTAATTTGCTAATAACTGACAAAATATTGCGAATTTGTGTCATATTTTTTTTCCTTGGTGTTCCTGCTTTCATGGAGCTCCGTTTCAGCGCGAACTTCAAACCGGTCAAAAAATTGTTGGTGGGCCCCTTTAAGAGGACGGAACCAAAACATCTCGTCGCCAATAGCTCTCGGTGCTGAAGGTTTTTGCACTTCGATAACACTGTCAGATACGGTGTCATAACCAAATGCCTGGTTATCAATGAATAACCTGTCACAACTAAGCCGCACGCGCTTTTGAGCTGCACGGTGCAGCTTTCCAAATTCTCGAAGCTTTCTTCTGGTCTTACCTTCTTCAATTCACGCCTTCATGTAAGCTAGGTTTTTCAATAAAAATGTCCAATTTAATTTCTTCCTTTTTTTAAGTTTTGGAATTTAACGACAATTACGTGGTTGTATTGGTTTCGCTTAAATAGACGGTGAGCCCGTTCGATTTCACCAGCGTTAATTTGCAGACGAGTCTGAATAAAGTCTGACACAATCTGTTCAGTCTGGTTTCAGGTTTCCCCGGGTGCCCTTGACGAAAAGGTCGTTTCTGTGTAAACGATTATCAATTGCATCTGTAGCGATATGTTACCAAAATTCTGACGCGTGGAAGACAATTCACACAGCTTTGTTTCCAGCGAGCATATATCTGCTTTCATAGCGATTATTTCGTCATGACAGCGCCCTATTTGTTCCACCTTCGTTTCAAGCTGGGTGCCCCTTGACATTAGCTTCGCTACGCCGGTAGATATCGCTTTAAGCTTTTGCGAGTTTTCTTTTTGGTTGCTCTCGGTGTTCAATGGGAGTCTGTCAAGGCATGCCTGAAGTTTGTCGAGTGCTTCACTATGCGGCCCGGGATTTTGTTCCACGTCTCCAGGGTAGAGCATACGCATACCACTCCAAACACAGTTCGGGCCTTTGGGATGATCAGTTGCACAGGTTAGGAGTTCAGGGGAAGCTCCTCTCACCCCTTTCCACTTAAGCAGAGCGAACGCTGGAAAGGAGGCGTCCTCTCCAGCATTCGCTCTGCCAAAGGGGAAAGAGGTGAGAAGAGTTTCCGCTGAACTGTTAACTTATTACCGACGATAGGTAACAGCATGGGACATATTACATCCTTGAAGGCGTGAGAGCGAAGGAAACGCCAAATGGGGGGCGTGAACCGCTGGCTGCGTCCCAAGCGACTTCCGGTCACTCCGTCTTTGCAAACCCGTCGAGTTTGCTTATGTCACCAGTGCTAGAAAGCATAAATGCTACGCGGACGACAAAGTTGGAGATTTAGCGAGGGCCTTCGGCTGTACGATTTTAACGTCTTGGAGGAGAAAAGTTGATTTGCAGGAATATCAGGAAAATTTGAACAGATCTCGCGCTTCTTGGTTCTTTTGGCGTTCACCTGGAGACTCGACGTTTCAAGCAGCGGTGTTAAGGTGGGCTTTGTTCATTCTTTTTATGAACCGGAAGGTCGCTGGGACGTCCAAGACTGGAGCACCGCCTGGTGGCATTTGCAAAGAAAAGGGTCTACAGTCTCGCGTTCACAAAACGCGCAACGTCTTCCAAGTTTGAAGGCACGTTAAACGTTTACTACTTGGGGAGCAGTGTACGAGACCCAAAGAAAAAATCGCTACTTTGGTCGCGCCAATCGTCGAAAATGTTTTCGAGCTTGCATACAGCGTCGCGTACACTGAAGCTCCTGGTTGACACGTCTTTCGAGCTTTTGATCGGCAGTGAGTGCACTCGATGGAAAGGCTTGCACTTGCAGCCTCCGAGGTTGCATTGCCTGTGTTTCTTTAATGTAAGCAGCTGCACGTTCCAGCGGATCACTGAACACCTGCTTTTGGATTGCGGGACGGCTTTGTCCGAGCATCCTCTCTCCCGACCTCTGTGGCGAGGTTGTACTTGGTGTTAGAAAATAACTACACGGTCATTCACGATGATTACTCTGCGCGAAAACAACATCAACGTTTTTAAAGCACAGTGGGTGGCCAGAAACAAAACAGCTACCGCAAAACCCGCCGTGATGTTCTAGGTGTTGGCCAGCGCTATCGAATGGAATACGTTCAGTTATTTGTTGCCCCTTTAGCGTGAAAGAGTGAGCAAGCTTCGAGTGACCCGCAGCTGGCGCGCGAAAGTGGGCGTCGAACGTAGCGGGAAATTCGTCATCAGGCTGTTGAGGAGAGCACGCGTGGAGCAGACGCGACGGGGTGGCCACGTTCCAGCGATCGACGATGTAGAGGGACGACCGTCGACGCTATTATTTGGGTCCTCGTTGATCTCCTCCCGCGGCACCCGACGCCGAGTCATCAAGCGGGTAATGACGAATGCTCCCGTGCGAGAGCCGGCTGCGCAGTAGGTCGGCACTGAGCGTGCACGCGGTTCTGTCCCGAGCTGTCATTTCTGGCGCGACTCGTGCGTGGCCCTTCTTCGAGCATTACTATTTCCGGTCCCGAGGTGAGGCCGCGACTCACGGCCGCGTTTCGAGCGGATAGTTTTCTCCCGGACATTAGGGAGTTTTAGTAGATGGTTCCGATACCTCCGTTTACGATACCCGATGACGACAGGATGCATGCGCAAAAATGGCGCCGGTGTATCGGAGTCGTCGGAACGATCTTCTACGGAGGAAACCCCGCTCTTGCTTACCGAGTGCCTCTTTCTTTGGTCCAGGAGCTGACGGTGACCGACGACACAGTGCTCGAGGAGCACAATGAAGACCCCTGCCTGGTGCAGATGAGGCTGATCGGCGACGGGGGTAAGTCGTCGTGTTCCCGGCCGCTCATCCTGTCGCGTCCCTGTGGGCGCGTGTGGCTCTGGCTGGCTCGGCCACGCTAAAGTAACTGGATCGTGGGAAAGTAGCGCCAAGGCTCCTCGTATGGTCGCCATTTGGACCCTTGAAATGAACAATTTCTCCTTGACCCCTCCGTTCTTGGGGAGCCGATCGAAATTCTCTGGTGACGGGTAGCTTTATAGACACGTTTCTTGTACACAGAGATTTTGCTATCTACACACCGGCGAAACAAGCGTACATCTTCGTACCACCACCGCAAGCTGTGTCGGTGCTTGGAGGCACTGAAAAATAAGTTTACCGTTTTCAAATACGCAAGAAGAACAATGTAATTGTAAGAGATCCGTGGAGATGGACATGACTGATAAGTTGATTGCACAAAGAGTGCCAAAGAGGCTTATATTGGCGAGGAACGCCTTCAACACGATGACTCTCCACGGTGATGTTGGTGCGACTGGATTTGAACGCCCCTGTCACAGCTTCAAAGATTTGAATGGACCGATACGGTGATTGTCATGTTAACAGAGACCGATTAGCCAATCGCCATGCGAGGTTTTGGTCGTCCGTATGTTAGTATTTGTTTGTGTTTGGCTAGCAGGCCCAGAAGGCAATGGCGCTGCTTTCCCAGGATCCAGGGACTTTAGGCCACGCCTGACACCAGCAAATCCCAGTCTTGCGCCGCAACACCCGGAGTCGAAGGTCGTACATTCGGCCCGTGTGTTATGCATGGTTTGTGGGGCCGGAGAGTTGGCCACATCGGGTCACTTGCGCACTCGCGCGGACAGGGTTATCGCATCCCTTCCTTCCACAGTGTCATTTTTTTTGTGTGTGTGTGTGTTTAGCTGCGCGTGCTGCGAATGCGTTCAGTTTGGCACTGCCGAACCTAAAGTCAATAAATAGAGGGCAACAATATTTTTTTTAATTCTTTTTTACGTTTTGTAAATATCCTTTAGAATTACTCCTTGACATTCAAAAACCTGCGAAACACGCATTAGTTTGTTTTTCTCCTCGCAAATGCAGTTGCAGGGAGAAAAAAAATGCGTGAAAAACGAGCCGTGTTCACCCCCTCAACTCGGAGCCAGAACAAGCTGCCACGTCTTCTGGAGCCGATTCTTTGCCGCCACTGTTTATCATAGCCACGCCCTGGGGAATTGGCAAAGCCCAGCGAAGGCGCTTTGTTCCACACATTGTTGACGTCTGGCTATACGCCGAGAAAGGGAGGAAGAGGAGGAGGAGACGCGAGCGCGGCCACGTCGGGACGCCGAGCTTGTTTGGAATGATTAGTGGGTATAGACCTAAAGCTACTGTAGATGGTCGAGCGTGTTGGTTTCTAATTGACGATAAGGAAAGAGGGACATGGAAGACAACCGTGCTGTCTGTTTGTCTTCCATGTCCCTCTTTCGCTATCGTAAATTAAAAGCTAGCTTTGTCTTTAGTGGACTCGTCAAACGCGTTAAAACGCGGGAGTCCTGCGTTCGGCTTTCGTATTCGAGAGCGTTCGACGAGTGCAGTGGAAGCAAAGTCAGCTAGCTTCAGGTCTACCCACTAACCAATCGAACCATAGCTCGGCGTTCTGACGTCTCGCGCGCTCTCGTCTCATCCTCTCTCTTTCACTTTCTCGGCCCTTTGCCGTCATCGCAGCGATTGGGCACCATCCACTGCCCCGAGTGCCTGCCGTGGCACTGATTGTCATGAGCACAAATCAAATGCACACGCAGTGCTCGTGTCCGCTCTATGAGCCGCATTTAAAGATCGTCACGGCGGGGATCGCAAAGCTCGATGACGAGCTCCTGGACCGGTTTGCTGACGGATGCGGGGATCTCTCCCGGCGGCTGAGATAGATGCAATAGTGTCTTTTTTTTTTTTTTTTTTTTTTTTTTGGGGGGGGGGGGGGGGGTTACATGACAGGCCAGTAAAAATGAAGCCCCTCGATACTTCCTCTTATAAGTAACGACACCCGAAACAAATGACAAAGCACATTCCGCTGGAACGAAATGGCGTCATTCAGTTCATTCGTCTGCTGTGAGCCGCCCATTCGCTTCCTAAACCCTGCACCGTTACGCAGTTGGCGCATCGAAGAATGTTGCTACTCGTAGGAAGCTTTTATCTAGGAACTTTAAGTTCGAGATTTGAACGAATTAAGACTTTGTATAGCAGTACTTTTAGAGATGAAGGTGCTTTTGCGAAGTTACATCGACGATATCCCAACATGCGGTTGGTGTTATCAATGCGTGAACGGTCCAAGTAAGATAGGATGACATGTGAATACCAATATATTTATGAGATACGGCGTCTAAAGTCAAATTATTAAGATAGTAAGCGACTAAATTGTGACTTTTTTTGTAGAGATTCATAAATTTACATTTGTTAGTGCTTAGTTCCATGCATCACGTTTTCCACCGTACAGAGGTGGCATTAAGATGGGATTAGATACGATTATGTCAGTGTCATGTTATTTCCCGGAAAACTAGTCACCTGCGAACAAGAAGGTAGATCATTACTATAGATCAGAGGCGAAGTCCGTGCATAGAGCCTTGGGGCACACCGGAATGGACGCTACTTGTCTGGGATGTTACATTGTTAGTTGCAACGAACTCTGTACGGTTAACAAGAAAACATTCAAGTCATGTGAGAAGCAGTAACAGGAAAGAAGAAACGCACAACGGACGAGAAACACAGACGAGCGCATTCTTTAGGGTTCAAGATTGAGTTGATCTAATTTATGAAATAATAGCACGTGACACGCCATATCAAATGCTTTGGAAAAGTCTAGAAAGATGCAATCGGCAACTGATGATGGGTCAAAAATGGCGTTCAGTTTATGAGTTGAAGATACCGATTGTGTTTCGCACGAATACGTTTTCCGGAAGCCATGTTGTGAAGATGTAAAAACAAAACAAAAAACGAATTCATTCTAGGAAGTTGGCGAAGTTAGAAAACATGATATGCTCTAAAATCGGTTCGATATTATGTGAAGGGTGCTTGTTTCCCGATTTGTGAGTAGAATCACCTTCTCGACTTTCTACTGCGCAACAGCAAGTTATAGTCAATTGCAGGTTGAAAAAAGTTTTCGAGGGGAAGGAAGGTCGGGGAGGAGGAAGCCGACTAGACGAAACGCTGAAGAGAGGTGGAGGTTCCCTCCCCTTCTCTGCAGCATTCCGTAGGCTTCCTCCTTCCAACCTTCCTTTTTCTCGCGAAGTTTTCTTAACCTGCAACTGATCATAGTCTCGTCGTCCCGATCAGTCGCGTGGTAAGCAGTGATTGGCTCGTCCTACCCCGCATGAGGGCGTCATGGAACCAAGTCACTGTCTAGTCTTGTCGTCAAACACCTCATGTTAAGTTCGAAAATTGAGCGGGCCGATGTCTGGATCGAGCTTCGCGTCCTCCGCTCCCGCGTGAAGGCGATGTCGCGAAGCAGACGACAGACTAATTTCCCGATGAACTTCAAGCGGGCGCAATGACGCTGGTGGGTGGCGTTCGTGCCCTGCGATTGCCGCCGAAAATAAAAACACAAAAAGGCTACTTTTTTTTTTTTTGTTTTGTTTACGTTTACGTAACGGTGGAAAAGGAGAGCTCCGAAAGAGCCCAGAATTACATTTGTGTCTCTTAGAAGCCTTGGATGCGACGAGTAAAACTTGGCGAATGCAGTCAACGCTCCCAGCGCTCATTGTCAGCTGTTTGTAAACACGGGGCTCTTTCAAAAGACCGGATTTCACTCGCAACCTGCTCTTCGTTTATTTATTTTCTTTCTTTCTTTCTCCCTCCTCTCTGCATTCTCGCGTACGCAAGTGTTTCCGTTGTTTATGACTTTTTGTGTCGTTTCGGGTTGTTCGGTCGCAGAGTCGTTCATGCCAACTGTCCTTTGATGGCGCTCGGGTCTCTTTGGAATACAATCGAAACCGCCGCTGTTCCAGTCAGGGGGAAATTCTAGGACAGAATGGACGCTCGATATCGAATGAGGCGCGGGTTTCCAGAAAAAGAAAAAAAAAAAAAGATTTTCCTACTTTGTTTTAACATCAGAGCCGCTTTATATTCGGAAGGTGTTTCTCAACCTTCCAACAAGCGGTCAAGCAGACGTTTTAATCCCATTCGATACTGTGGGCATATCTGTTCAAATCTATATTCAGGGACGTGTTGCATTTTTCGTTCTTCGCTTTTTTCTTCTTCTTCTAATATGCTGTCGTGCTCATGAATTGCACAGGGGGATGGGCCATAAGGCCTAGTCAGGCGACGTGAGTCGCCTTTTACCCCATCCTCTTAAACGTGTCTGAATTGCACGCTCGACAGGAACGCTACCATAAAGTCGGTTAGCATGACCACCGTATGGCGTGCAAGTAAGTTTGTTTACCCGGCAAATGCGCCCACGTGCCTTTGTTTACCCCTGACCTCAACCGATGACGACACGCGCTTGGTTGCCTCGTCATCGCGCCTTCCCTGCGTGTTCGCTGTTTTAGCCTTTGTTTGCCGCAGACGCATTTTGGCAGACTTGCTCGCCGTATTACTCGGGCAATGACTCGAAACTCGGGCCATCTAATCGGTGCTAATAAACGGAAATAGATAGAAAACGAAGGCGCTTTTGTCCAACAAATCTTGGCAATGATTCGCCGCTGCAGCAGTGCCGCGTTCGATAACGTTATCTCGAAGGAATCCTTTCGTTATTTGAAGTGACCCTCGTGAAAGTATTTCCGTTTGAAGGCGAACCAAAGGGGCCGTCGATACGACGTGGCACGGGAAATCAACGTGTCGCATGCTGTCTACAAACCTTGGAGAAGGAAAGCGGCCCCCTGCGAACTGCAGGGGACGTAGCGTTGGCTATGCTTGGCGCGTTTTGTCCGTTTCTTTTTTTGGAGAGGCTTTGGAAATGAGTCTGGCTTTCCCCTGTCGTCGCGCCCAGCTCGCCTGCCCCGCTACCTGCGCGTGGCCCTCACTTAGCCTAATGAGGCACGTAGGGCTGCCCGCGTAAAAAT